ACTTTGGCACATGGAATGTCCAGATGATGACGTCACTGGTCATCGCTGCCCGACCCACACATGTTTATCTGCGTGCCGGACGTTATGATTTATGTCATATTTATCAGATTTTTCCTCCGTTTTCCAAATTTGTACTCCTTTTGCTTGTTTTGTAACTGGAATGAGAAAAAAGAAATATTTTTAATTTCTTGTATATATGAATACTGCAATGTGGGTGGGTGTTACCTTAAATAAAAAAAACAACTCTGTAAATGGGGATGTTTTGAATACACTTCTTACACTTCTTGAGAAAAACCTTTTTTATGACAGAAACTGAAAACCTGTTTATAAGATCAGACGTACCTTTTCTGAAGAGGAACTGTCCAATTTTCGTTACAGCTCCAAACAGGAAGAAAAGTAATATTCCATAGAAATAGCAGATCAGGACAAGCACCATTCCCTTCATTTCCCCGCCCGTCTCCTCCCGGGGGACATCGTAACGTTTACTGGCAGTCTGCATCCTTCTCAGATAGGTCTTTGCTAAGCTCCTATAAAACAGGGATAAAATATTATCGATTTAATATGACCCTTTATTAAATAGGGCGAACATGCTGACTTAGCTTAGTATATATGTACCTGGTGATAATATGCATGCACGGCCAAATTCCACACGCGTGGTAACGGCATGTACGGGGTCAAACACGTTTCAGGTTAGTTTTAACTCCAAAAATATTTTTATTTTAACATAATCATGACAATATTTTACCAATATCTTTAAATATTAATTAATTTTATGTCCAAACTAAATTTATTTAAGATCTTTAACCAGGTTTTGCAAATGATAAGTCTATTAGAGAATTTATCTTCAAGTGTATGCTTTTTATTTTTAGCTCTTTGATAAAGCCATTGAAGATCGTTAAACAAAATCTATGTTTCTCTTAAATTAAGTTCATATAATAGATTACATAATTGAGATAACATTTACACAATGTACAAGGATTAAACGCGTAAGAACATCAGTTAAAATGAAACCTGTATTTTCAGTGATAAACAGCTGATCAAGGTTTCTATCACGTATGCAACAGACTCTATATATATACTTGTAACAAAGGTAGGTAAAATTCCCCTACATCATTTGCATATTCATATGTTTGACCTCTACTTTATTTATACCTGGAAAGCATGGCCCATAAGCATGTGCATGCACTGACGGCTATTGAATCGATTAATCAATTAATAATATATATATACTGCCTAAGTGCCTTAATTATTTCCTTTTGCCTAATATGATACGTAATATATTGTGTTTTAGCATCATCATTTGAGAACTGTTCAGTCATGAATTCACATTTTATTATATTTATTTACTACAGTATAGATAAACTTCTCACATGCCTGGTAAAAATACAGAGCAATATATATCAGTTTTTTCCCCTAAATAATGTATACATGTTAACATAAAAATTTCAAATTTTAATATTTAATTAATGGTTACTTGCAGTTGAATATAAAAACTGGGTTAAAATAAAAATATGCATTAAATATAGATATGCATTAAACAATGCTAAAGCCCCAATGTAATTCATTGTAATTAATTAAGAAAAACTGAATACTGCTTCTGGAGAGAAGTTAAAAGACTTTTGAAAAGTCATATATTTTCAGAAGTAAACCAACACGTTTTACAGTGTTTTAGTTGTTGGTATAAATAATGTCCCTTTAAAATAATATAAACTGCTAAATGATAAAATACTTACAAACAAGTACAACTTGGAATGAAAAAATAATCACCGGCACATCTAGAGAACACATGTATAAACTTCCAGCACACACGAAGAAGTGCACTTTCTGCAAGCTATCCTTCATGTTTTGTTCAAAATTCCTTGAACCTCGATTCGGTTCACAACACGTGCGCATTTTAGCGTAAAAACCTCGCTGATCACGCCGTGGACATGTTGAACTTTGGACTCCGCTATGGTCGGGACCAATCAGAACGAGTCATTTCTGTCCATTACCTACAGTTGTTTACTATGTTACGTAACAGATAATAGACAAAAAGCCCGCGGAAGGGGTCAGTATGATGAAATTTAGTAGAAGGCTTGCATCAGACGGACGGCATGATGAAAAGGAAAATACTCATAAAGAACTCACAAATAGTTTCTAATCTTATTATTTCAAATACTTTATTAGTTCCTCTTTGTTTTCTATTAATTAAATTCGAAAAGAGAGTTTAATCACCCTTTTTTTTCATTGCTCGAAATATTAAAACTCAGGAGGGGGGGGGGGGGTTCCAAACTTAATAATTTGTTATGTATCAAATTGTTTGTTGAATTGTTGAAATTGTTTGTTTTTTTTAATAAAATAAGATTTTCTAAAAAAAATTAATTTTTGCTACATAACAAAGACTTTGCAGTTGTCAATTGTATTTTTTTTTCTGCATCCCCCCCCAAGAACGACGCAAAATGTACGTGCACGAAACTTTTCCCTTTTTTTTTTTTTAACTTTGATTAAATAAATTTGTATTTTATTATAATTAATATTCTTTGTTATCATCCTGTAATTACTTTGTAAATTTTCATTGTTAAAAATTTTCCGTTGTGCGTAAAAAAAAAGGTAGACAGTATTTTAAAATATAAATTGTTTCTAATTTGCATAGTATTTACTTTCAACGCAAAATGTTCCCTGAACTTTGCGATAAGCTTACGTGCAGATAAACATTTTGGAAGTACTTGTTGTCATTTCAAGGCTCTTCAAGCTGTTCATTCACATTTGACACCAATAAGGTGAACTTACCGCCAGGAATAGCTTTCAAACCAAGACTGAAGTAATCGTTTTGATGTAATGTCTGAAAAGAATAAAAGACAAATTTGTAACAAGATTTTTTGGTCATTATTTAGCTCCAGCTGAGTGCTATACAGTATAAGTTAGAATAAAATATAAATCTGATTAACTGATTAAAGTACCGTAATTCAACCTTCTCAAAACAGGTAATAAACGCGATAAGTTGACCCCCTGTCGTGAAAACTGTTAACTTTACATCCATACAGTAATGAGTGTTATTATATTAAAATTTATCTCGCTAAATGCAGCAATGTAGTACCAGGGTATATAGGTCCCTGGTAGTACGGGAGCGATAAAAAAAATCATTTTTTTCCCTAGTAATAACCTGAACACATCTGATTTTGCTCTTAAAATCTTTTTTAAAAAGTAGCGAAATAATAACACTAATAATAATTTTAAAAAAAACTTTGAATACATTCTTTGTTGAAATTTTCAGTAATTCTCTTTTTTATAAATTGGATTAATTGATAGATAAGTACATTTATTTTTTATATCGGCATCGAACACAGGCACCCGACGTTACTTGTTTTTCTTTCAATAAAGAAATGATGCCCACCTGGTTATAATAATACATGTATTCTTAGGTAGGGTAATCCTTTTAATTTTTTTTTTTTGTTCAAAAAGAAAAATAAGTAAAGTACGATGCCCTGTTTTTCTGAAGAGGTAGAAGGATGTGGAGATAAAGAACAATATTCAGCCTTAAAGTCCATAAAACAATACAAAATAGGAGCATGGGGCAGAGCAAACACGGACCTCCGAAACATCAGAGGTGGGATAAGGTGCCATGGAGGAGTGAGCATCCCCTGCCGACCGGTACACACCCGCCGTGTGCTCCTTGTCATGATCAGGAAATAACGGAAAAAATCCGTCGTCAATTCAGTGTATAAATAATGGACTAACAATTGGTATGAAAAACTTCAGTCAGCATTTGACTCAATGATAAATTGTATTTGCTTACAAGGTCATTGTATCGACCATAGAACTTACGAAATGATGACTTTAAACGAGACTGCTGATATTCTTGTTTCATCAACTTGCTTGTCAATATTTTACCTCGTTTTAGAAATTGTTCATACGTAGAGCATGCTCTTGCGTAACGAATCAACTGAGATATATAACCTCCGTATGCAGGTAATGAAGGTATATTGCTGCATAAGTAAGGAAAGTTGACGATAGAAAAGTAAAAATCATCACTTGGTTGTTAGATTACCATTAAGGTCTTTTTCAAGTAAAATATCCAAACTTGGATATTTTACTTGAAAAAGACCTTGTATGAAACAGATGTGTCAGACTCTGTGGTATCTTTTATCTCAAGCTCACCAGGATATATCGTGTCGACGTAGGAATGGAAATTACTATTGTTAATTGACAATACGTCGTCGATATATCTAAATGTCGAGTTGAAGGCCACAGCAAGTGTTTTCTTCTTTTCACGCTTAAGATTTTTCACAAATTCTGCTTCATATGAATATAAAAATAGGTCTGCTAATAACGGAGCGCAATTTGTACTCATAGGAATTCCAATAGATTGTTGGAATATCTGGTCTCCAAAAACCACATAGATATTGTCAATCAGAAATTCAAGCATCTCTTTGATGTCAACTTCAGAGTACTTGTGTGTGCAATCAGAATGTGTTTTAACAAAATAATTTTAGAATTGACCAATGACCAGGTAAGTAAATTTACGAGTTCCATTTTTTATTGAAAAAGCAGTTGTCAATCACTCAATGATATCAAAAGGCCTGGACTTTAATTTATCGTGGGGAATGGTTGTGTATCAAGTTGAAAAGTCGTACGTTTTTAAGCTTTTGATTTTGGTAAAATCTTGTGATTTCAAATTGTCTGAAAAGTTCTTTGGAATTTTTGAGTATCCAAATCTGATTCACATCACTTCTTGCATATATTGTTGCACAGTACTCTTGAAGTTTTTCCTTCACTACTGTCAATATCTTAGTGAGAAGTAATCAAAGAGGCTTGGTTGAACATTTACTGGAACCCGCAATGTATCCTTGTTTGTAAGGATTAAGAGAAATAATCCAATGTATAACAAAATCTTAAAGGTTAATATTTCATTTTAGAGTTATTCCTCTAGAAGCTTTTACACTCTTCACCCTCTTTTTATACTCTTTTCTTTTTTGGCAATTTGACGCAAAAAGATTTATTTAAAATGAAATAAAAATATATTATTGTTTTCATCAAGCTTTATTATACTTAAGACATCCACCTTACATGATGAAATACATAAAATTTGATCAGAAAATGTCTGACTTTATTCTGAAACTTACATGAATATTCTTCAAAACAATGTATTTAACGTTCATAAATAGCGAATATTCCATGGCAACGGAACATTGGAAGCACACAAATCAATGATAAATGCGAGCCTTGTGTGGAAAAGACAGGCTTATAGCAGTATGTTTGGGACAAATGACAGGAAATGAACTAAACAGTGTGAAAAAGGGACAGATATTTTACACAGTTTCAACATTATTTCAACATCTCTTTTCAGAAGCAGCTCAAGAAGTGAAACGTTGCAGGATCAGTGATGCTTCTAATAAAAAAAAAAAAAAAACATCTTCATTCCCACTAATGGTGGTATATACAGTACAACAACACACCTATTCTCTTAACAAGTACATGTTTGTTCATTTTGCAACCATACATTACAAATCATATCTCAAAACATTGCCTACAGAAAATCTTTGATTTAACTTTAACAGTCAAAGTAGCTTTTAAAATTACAATGGCAAATGCAGTAAATGTTGTAATCAATGGTTTCGAAACATGAAAGTACTACAAGAAAACCAAAATATAGAAACAATCCATTTTCTGAACAGTTGAAATACAGTTGAACTTCGGTATCTTGAACACTGAAATTTCGAATACCATGGATATGTCGAAGTGATTTGGAAGTCCCCACCACATATTCTTTAAGTATTTAACCTTTGATATCTCGAATCCTCGGATATCTCGGAAGTTTTTTCTCAGTCCCATCAGGTTCGAGATAACGAAGTTGAGCCTGTATAATAGTGAACCTATATAACCAAACCACTCATTTAACAATAACAATTAATACTGAAATACATCATAACACTTTTGAAAATTTCAAACATCAAATTCAATATTGAAGCATTAGCTTAATATGCAGGGAAAATATTACCGGTAATAATGTGACTATTCATGACTCTATTTTCAAATAAGCATTAATCATAATTGTGATTCCATTGCAGTTATAAAAATTGCAGGAACAGTAACTTTTTTAAAATTAAAATATGATCATTATAAGGGACAAAATATCACAAATTAAAACTGGAATAAAAACATATTTTGTGGAGAAAATAAATGCAAATAATCATAAACAAAGGTTTTCATTTTGAAGTCACTTACATGTATGTACCGGTATATAAAACAAAGCTTAAGCAATTGGTAAACATTTTTCTCTTTTTCAACGTGAACTAACAATAAAGCAATACATTGTATATAAAATACACTTTGCTTACATGTATATCAATTACTTATTGATATCAAAATAAAATTGCATTTATGACTTTTTTTTTTACTTTTCATAAAAGTAATAACATTGCAAACAAAAGCAATATCAACAAAAATGGCAGTCAGTTGAATTTTAGTAAAACAATACATTGTTTTCAAATGCCTTGCATTGTATTTAAATGTAAGAAAAAAATTCTAGTGACAGTGAAATGTGTTTGACAACTTTATATGGCAGGGGGAGGGAACTGCAAACGTCAACAGCACAAACTTGTTTGGCAAGAGTTATCTATCTTTGCATGCTTTTCACGATCACAATCTTTCTTTATCTCCAGTGGAGATCTTCATGAAAAATCCCGAAGTATAAATTAAAACAAAGACACAAATATAAATATATATATACTTTCTTAAAAATTCCAATAAAACAAAAATAAAGCATCTGAAATATTTAACATTCAACCTTTGAAAAATAACTACATATAAATAAAAGAGTGAAAGATCTAAAATAAAGTATCTGCCATTAAAGCAATTAAAATTTAATTATTGATAGTGTCTATTCTTTCTAATTGCGGCCACATTCGGGACACAAGATGTCTCCTTCATTCATAAGGAAACCTTTCCCGACCATGGACGTGTCACATTTGTAACACACAAAACAGTCGCTGTGCCAGTGTCTGTCTTCAAATGAGATGAACTTGGTTCCTCCAAAACCTGGAATGTTTAAAAAAGAAGATTAATTTCATTCCACTTGAATTTAATAAGTACTCTAATACTGATCACTAGCTAAAATTGTTTCTGAAATGTTGCAAGAATTACCAGCTTGATTTTTTAAGGAAAAACAATTCTTCAAAAATTGACCGAGTTTTCTTTCAAATGGGTATTTTTGAATTTTATTCCACTCTACAATATATATAGCTGGGTATACATTTTTAAATTAATTCATAGCACATACACTTGTAAAGTCAGTCTTATGCCCTGTTCACACGACGAGTTTAATTCGCAGTAAATTAATGCGAAGTAAACTAATGCGAATCAAATTAATGCGAATTAAATTGCGTTCACACGACAGCTAATGCGAAGTAAACTAATGCGAATTAAATTTTTTCTTCTACAGTCAGGCGTCAGTAAGTCTATTATGACGTCATTTGTAAATCACGTCATGTATGCAGAGCCATCCTTTGATACATCATGTAGTGGCTACAGATATTCATTGATTTTAGTGATTAACATACTTTCCCTCAATTTTTGAACCAAATATAGCACAAATACCTATATATAACCACCAACACGTGTCCTGTGACTTAATTCTGGCCTTACGCATGCGTCAAAATTTAATTCGAATTAGCTTCGCTTAGCGTTCACACGGAGCTAATGCGAAGTAATTTAATGCGCAGTAAATTAATTCGAATTAAACTAATTCGCATTAAATTCTCCGTGTGAACGCTAAGCGAAGCTAATTCGCAGTAACTTTACGTTTAATTCGAATTAAACTCTCCGTGTGAACAGGGCATTAGTAAGTAATCCTGTACATATTATAAGGGTAGGTTCAAATGGATCATTTATATTCAATCAATTAGATACAAATATATAGATCATGTGCATTTCTGGTCATGACATTGATATTTTTCTCATTCTTTAGTTGGCAAATCAAGGCAATCATGCGAAAATGCATAATTGATAAGATTAGAATCCAGTGAAATAAAATTAACAGGATAAATACTGAAGATATAAGGTCCTTGCACCGAGCCACAATTAATATGGCATATTGGCATATGTGGTCTTTATAAGATTTTTTTGGCAAAATGCATTCCATTTTATTTTGTGCACAGAGTAGAAATGAGAAGGTTTGATACAGATATATTTTTAAGATCAGCTGTTTGAGAGATATGGTCCATTGTAATTAATGTCTGAAATTAAAAGCTTACCGTCAAAATCTAAAAATAAAAACATATACACATGTAGTTTTTATAACAAACAAATTTCTACCAAAATACACTTCACTGCTGAAGTTAAAACTTCAACTTTTTCAATCCGCAGCTTTATAAAGATCCAATTCTGGGCCAATATACATTCCAGCGAATATTATAAAAGATGTGGCTCTTCCAACCAAATTGAGAACCAGTACCAAAATTTTAAAACCATGCAATTTCTGTGAAAAAAGTTATGCTGATATTTTAAATGCCATATTTTCAATTTTTACAAATTACCAGTAATAGCCTTGGAACAACGGCAGCATTTCTTGGCGAACAGCTCTCCATAACAATCAGCACAGTACGGCTTGTCGTCCTTGGATGTGAACTTCTCTTTGGCCAGTTCCTTGTTACACTGGGTACAGGTGAAACATTCCCGGTGCCAGGGAGAGTTCTTGTAAGACACGCCTCCCTTGTTAATCACCTGTCAAAATTAAATTTCTACATTAAAGAAAGACAGATATATACACCCTTAAATTATGAATCTATAAAACTTTTAAATCAAGAACTAGCTTCCAAGGACTTCCTTATTTTGGAAAACCATTGGACAAGTAATTCATCAAATAATTGACAAATCTCAGTTACTATAATACTTTACTACCCTAAAATAACTTCTACAATTAAATTAAGTTTCATCGTATCCTAAAACTGGAAAACTTACCCCATTACATTTAGAGCACTTCTGAGCAAACTGTTCCTCGTAGCAGGGTACACAGACGGCCTCATTGTCCCGCGGGATGAAGCTCATGTTCCTGATAGGTTGTTTACAGACCATACACACAAAGCATTCCTCATGCCATTGCTTTCCCTTGTATTCGAATTTCTTCATCCCTGTCAAAATAGCAAATATATATAGTTAGACTACTGATGTAGCTAGAGCAGTTATCTCCCTTTTTTAAACACAATTGGAGGATTCAAAGCAAAATAAAAGCAATATAAGGGCAAATGGACAACATATTTACATTGTTTAAAACTTAAAATTAACGAAGAGAGAAGGGGAATGTATTCTATAGCAAAACAAAAAGAAAGTAAAATAGGAGAGGGAACTTCCCCTGCAAGATCATTGCTTTATCTACCTGCATGAATATCAATAAATTTAAATTAAAAAAATAGTTTTAGTTTTCAGAATCATAATTTTTTTATGATACATAAAAGTCTGAATGTTCTGTCTTTTTATGTACTAAAGCAATGATCTTTTAAAAATAGACATCAAATAGAAAGAAATTATATATAACTTATCTTTGGTTAAATATTATTAGAAAACAAAATCACTACCATTCTGCCAAGAGCAATTAAAAATAAATACCAGCAGACAGAATTAACACACACTGAAAAGAACAAGAACTATATAGATGTGGAGACATTACCTTTCAGAATTTCCTTCCCAATTTTAATTTCAAAATTCATATATTACCATTAATACACATTGAATTTCATACATTTAGTGAAGTTTAGTCACACAGAAAATTTCGCAGAAATATGACTGAAATATTGCTGACTCTATATTAAACAATAGTAATCAATCAATCAAACAGTAAATTGATAATCTGAGTATACATTGACATTCAGTTACGTTATTGAGGAAGGGGAGAGAGGTAATTTATATGTCTTCATCCTGTATTGTTTTGTTCTAACAGACAGATTTCAACATCATTAAGAAATTAGAGAATAAAACATGAAGTTTAGGTTACCAGTGATGCGATAAATCACTGAATGCAATAAAACATGTAAAAGGCAATGTTCAAAGAGCCAATCACATGAGAGTCACATGGCTGACATGAAAGGAGCCAATCACATGATAGTCACATGGCTATTACATGAAGGGAGACAACTCAACACTGAATGGCGGCCATATCCAATATATCTCACCTACGGAGGCGAGTTGTAAAAGCATATACCAGGGGTCTGAGGGGTTACACTCAGAATGCAGCTCTAGAAAAAAAGGGAAATCATTAGCAATTAATATGGGGATTTTATAAACATGTTTGTTAAAGGGATGCCACACTGAAAAATATTTTTTCTTCGTATGTTTCCTATCTCTATACTATGTTTATCAAATACCTAGTACATGTATGCACACAGTAAATCTTATCATGAGTAACAATTCTGCTACTACTTCTTAAAAAATCCTTGTGTAATTGTTAGATTTTATAATCAACACATGCCTGTGTTTCTACTGCAACCAAAGGGAAGCAACTGCTGCCATAAGAAAAAAAAACTAAATAAATGTGTAGAATGAGCAAAATCTCTGATAAAAACCTACAGAAGTAAAGACAACATAGTTATTATATAATTCTATAATATTATTATGTTACAATATGTATTACATTGTCAAGTAATTCTAGCAACTAAAATGGTTCTATATACCAGGGGGTATAGGTACATTTAGAAGACAAGAGCATATACTAACCCAAGATTAAGTACATGAATCATTAAAAATCTATAATTAGTTTTCAGAGAAATACAATAAATGTCCTAGCAGCTAAAAAGACTTTTACATTAAAATTGCAAAGAAAATGTGATGGATAACTGAGTGATTGAAGAAAAAGAGAGATTGGATACATTATTTTTTTTTAAGGTTGAAGTATACATGTAAGTGCACAAGACAGTTTTTAAACTTGGAAAATTTAAATTTATTATAAAACTATATAGTAAAATTTTTAAATTATCCCAGTTAAATCTTGATAACTATCATTTTGTCAAAGTATATCCATTAGGTATTAAATACATGTATGGTGTGCTACTTTTCGCATTTAAAAATAATTATTTCCCACTACTCTGAAACAGAGATACCCCTCCCCCTCCCTTCAGATGTAAGTATCTCCTAGTCTGAGTGTGGCTCGTTTTCTGAGTGAGTACAATTAAGAACCAGCCTGATGATCCAGCCTGAGAGCTAGCGTTAGAGAGTGCGCCTAGCATGCCAAGATTATATACACAAGCCAGATCTCTATATACCTTCTATGCCTCTCTCTTCATCTCCTGAAGCCACGGAAACAGAAAGTTTAACAAATTGCAGAAGAAGACTGCTAAATATTGCATGTACTTTTTATCATCTTTAACACCACATTGGATATTAGCCCTTTGCCTTAGGGTAAAGTCTTTGGCAAGTTAACATGCATGCAACATCAGCAGTTTATAGTTTTATTGGATCATTATATAAAATGTACGTAATCTGATCATTAAAAAAATAACAGCAACATAAGAAAAAACGGCACCAATCATCAACTGAAAGAAAATAATCAAATTAAATCAACCTGCCAAGCTAACAACATGAAGTTATCTCCCTTTGACCTTCAACAAAACAATCATGCTTTTCTGTTTATCGTACCGGATTGTCCCGAGACAAAGCCTAGAAGTAATATTAGAACCAAACAGTTCTTCATAACACATAACTATCAGCATTATAAGGAAGCACTTTCCTCTTCCAAACCTGTCACTAATGAAATAATAATTCAAAACTTATTTTAGTGTACTGTGTATATAAACAAGACTTTTGAATCATTTTAACGGAATCTGCTCTTATGGCAATTACAGAAAATAATTCTTCATTTTCAAAATTGAAGGGTCTGCTTGTTTAAAGTAGTTTCATCATGATTTTAATTCATGGTAAGAAAGTGCTTATACCTCCTTTAAAAGGTTCTCCGCAGCCATCGCAGCGAGCGGCGAAGTTCTTGTCGTGACAGTCGGAGCAGTAAATGTTGTCATTTTTGGGAGCAAATGGCTGATCCACCAGTGACTTCTGGCACTCACAGCACTTAAAGCAGAATTCATGCCAGTGGCGGTCCTTATATGAGAGATCCTGAAAACACAAAAGCCAAAATAATCGTTTGAAACCAGATAATTTTAATCAAATCTTCCGCTTTCTGGCAAGGAATTAAACAACTGCCGGAGAATATTTATTAACTATAGTGTCGAAAATAGTACAAAGAGATAAGTGTCTGTTTTCAGCTTTTACTGTGCATCAAACTGCTTTGGTTTAATAATAAAATATATGCAACCAAAACTGATAACAGCATTTTTACTCGATAAACACTTGAAGAAGATGCTATCGAACCTATCTATACATTATGTTCCATTACAATACACCAATCTATTTCCGGCTTCCAAGTTTTCTTTCTGGGCCAGACAGTCATTAATTATTGATAATCTGCCCACTCTGTATAATCGACCTTATCAATTACAAAATTGCGTGTTTGCTCAATTTCACAATGTGCAGCTTAAATTCACAATGCAGCTTTACTTTTTTTTTTAGCTGATAAAAATTTTAATAAATGGAGTGAAATTTTATGGCTTTGTAAAAATTCTCTGCAAGGTGACTCACTCAGACTTGACGAAAAATTTACAGACTCAGCCAGGATAATTGTGTATACTCATTGGAAGTGCAGGTGCACTATGTGGTCATTATACACACAGTGCACAGAGGTCATAAAAGTCTGTTGATAACAGCTCACTGACCACAGAGTATAGGGACCTAACACAAACAGATTACAACTGTTAGCTGGTATAACCTCACCTCCCCTCCACATTCCAGACTTCTTACTCATTGTGTGAAGACTTGACTCAGCTTTGGCAAAACATGAAATTCACGGAATGTATAATCAACAAAATTATGTAGGTTCATTAACTCTTCTTTAATCTCCCTGACATGTGCGCTCATTTTCGGATATCCAGTTAATAAGATTTTTAATGCATCAATGTACACTGTCTTTTCTAATACCATTTTCTGAACCAGAGCCATCTTTACCCCCCCGTATCATAGAATTTTTGCGAAAATTATGAGGGTGAAAATTCACACAATGCTTGCAGTACATTTATGGCAATTTAACAGAATGAAGATCAAGTCTAAGTGCAGTGTGTGATATATTGTACGTAAAACATATGGAGGTTACAAACAGAAGCTTGCGTACATTCCACACAAATCGCTCTCAAGCTGTGTTAAAAGACTGCTGATGACTCCCTGCACGCACTGTTTGGTTTATTAATACTGGCTAATTTGGTAGTGTCGATAGAATGAATGGTGTGCTTTTTCTATGTTTTTGCCTATATGCAGCTAATGTGCAGCAGAATTTATCATAATAATTGAAATCTGCAGACTTAATACTTAGTATAAGAATAAAGCTAAGCTCTGCATTCAATATTCATGTGACAGTCTTAATTAAAAGAAAACATTACCAAAACCTAACATACAAAACTGCACAGCAAAAGGTTTGTAAGAATCTTCAGTCTTCTACATGACATTTTAGTAAAAACAATGACATTAATATTCATAGTATTTAGCGTGCATTGAAAATTTTGAGGCACTTAATGTAAACAATCGATCTGTCTTCTAAAGATGCAATGTTAATGATGCAAAATCATGTGTAGGTGGGCCATTAATAAGTCACACATATTTTTCTTTGGGCACAGCAGAAAAAAATGGTAATAAGAATTTCATACTGATCTTTTTGTTCAGTGTTCATTACTGATGTTTCTCATTATTCGGTTTTCCATCCCTATCTTTTAAAGTACATGCTGGGTGGTAGTAAAATTTATGAGGTCATGTCCTGGTGATGCAAAATATTTCCCCATAGTATTTCCCTGTAAAACTATGGTGAACCACAGGAAAAAATCAACCTTTCCCAGATTTAATCCTAAACCACAGATAAAAGAGAAAAATGATGAACTCCAGAGTCAAACTCTCATCATAAACCAGACTTGTGTCAATAACTTTATGAGGTATTCATTTCTTGAGCAAATAAAAAGATTTTTGATTGTCAGATTCCCACCAGCAAAAATCAAGCACTCATTTTACCCAGTTCAATCTTAGTGCAGGATAATGGCATGATCCATTTCATAGCAAATAATGAACTGACTTTTTTTCTCTTATCAAGAAATTGCTGAAACAAAGAATGTATAAACAATCAAAGTAAGGAGCCAAACAAATCAGAGAGAAGAAAAACCAACAGATAACCTCTTATAACTTTTGAAGTAATGACAAGAAGAGATACATATCTACACTGATCAAGAATTCCACTCAAACACCCTTGTCCCAGCATGCATTGTATGAAACAGAATGGCCTGAACACCCCCATGGTGCCATCTTCAGGGAACACTATGAGCGCCACCTTCAGCAGGTGGTTGTATAATACAGAGCTGTACAGCGGTAAACCTCAGCTCTCCTACAGATCTCCCGTAGATAATGCCTCAGCACAGCTCATCAAATGATAAAGTTTGACAAAATGTTTATGTAGAATGCAGACACTTTGTGTTGGGAGTTGCTGTGCTAACAGAAATTATGTAGCCAATTAAACTGTGTCTATAGCAATCTTTATATCTTGAGAGTGTTTAATTCCATGGCTTTTATACTGAGTCTGTAACAAAAACAAGTGATTCTGACACGAGGGGAAACCTTTTTTTTGTAGCTGTTGTGAAGTGACTAAAATCAATAAAAGATGAAATTTGATAAAAATGTCAGCTGTTAAAAATTAAATATTACAGTGTACAGAAAACAAAAACTTTCAAAAATCACATTGTCTGAGTAAGGGTGTGTGAGTATTTGTGTTTTTACATTTCATATTTCAAATAACACAAATTTGTGCACATTAGATATTATGCCAGCAAATCTTACTGAATCACAGCCCAGATCCTTTAACATAAACAGAAAAGAAGGAAATTCTATCATAAGAATGAATATCAGTGGCCATAATTATTTCTTTTCTCTTCCTTGTAAAATGTTAATGCTTATGACAGTAAATACAGTAACTTTGTTGTAATAGTTAACTATAACATATGAACACTGGGCTGCACCATGAAATTCATTTCCTAATATACCTCCCCTAGGAATTCCATTATTTCATGATGCAATGCTCAAAATCAATACCAGACGTAATATCTACTAGTCTAAGACTTCACACTGTTTTGAACAATATGGTTGTAGACAATTGTTACCTTATCATTAGACACACTTCCATCAACTTTTTTAAGCTCCCTAACAAACAGGAATCACTCAAAAAAACTCAGATATATATGTTGGCACTATGAGATTTGGGTTACTGATGTCATGTAGATTCATGTTACAGAAGGAAAATAGAACAACGTTCCTATTTAATTAATAAAGAATCTCATTTTCTCATATAGTGTCTGAGTGGGTGATCTACGGAGTTAGAAAAAAATGTCACAAAAATAACCCAAGGACACAACACAACTCAAAGTTCATTCCCTTGGAATTGGGGTGGGGTGGGGGTTGCAATAGAGGTTCTTCATATACTGCTTATTCATAGGTATACAGAGAGTATTGGCTGGGTACAATTTGGCTCCCCCTTATAATCTTCCACTAATTATGGAATCTGATGTATCACAATATATAAATAAGAAGATTATCACCAAGCTTATAATTTTTACAGACAGAAAAGAAGTTGTAGGCCAACCCACAACTTGGAATAATTTGCCAGCTAGCTGTTTCTTCTGACATTGTTTAACAGCTAACCATTCAATTCATTATAAGAATTTCTCTGTTTTATTTTATTATTACTGGCAGTTCCTTTTCCTACAAAACACAGGCATTGAACCCACAGGAGTCTGTTCCAGCATCTAACAGAACAAAACACAGAAAACATTACATCTGCACTTTGTCTAAAACTTGCTTCTAACTCAAAAATGTCTTTAGAATTTTTTCTTTCTCATTTCAATATGAGCATGAGATTAACAAAATCTCTTGCATACAATAAGATAAATGGTCTATAAGCTTCCAAGAAAATGTAGAACATATCTGCCATAGTATTGAATATGTCTATCTTTACACCAAATGCATGAGCAATTAATTTCCTATGTCTTCCAGACAATTAAAATTTCAGTATTTTACATAATATTCTCCAAGCTTCTGTCAGTTCCAGTAATGTTCATAAACTGCTTATGCTTCAAATTTTGTGAGAAAAAATGTTAAGTACAGTCTATTTTCAATCTCTTGCTAATTGCATATTTGCTGCAAACAATGAACAAGAAAAAAGAATTCAGACATTCCAGCAGATTTACCTCGCAGTAATCATTGGGTACAGACCTTGTAGTCGGGTCCTATTGGTTTTTTACACTCCTCACAGTTGTGGGCGTACAGTTCCTGGTAGCAGGGGATACAGTGGGGGTTCTCGTCCTTGACGATGTAGCGACAGGCCACCAGTTTCTTGTCACAGTTGTGGCAGGCTAAGTGATCCTTGTGGTAGTTCTCATCCATAGCTTTAGTGTACTCTCCAGAAAATATTAACTGCAAAATAAGTAGAATTTTTATAATGAGATTTGTGCAATAACTTGCAGTGATGTGCAAAATCGGAGTGTGTTTCCAAATCAATGTTCTCCAAGAAGAATTAAAAACGAGATGTGAAATATGTACGTAGTTGGATCAGTGAGAGCTCACATATAGCTCATGTGTACAAGTTCCACAAAAGATTTCCTTAAGTCATTCTAGTGGTTTATGTATATATAGTACTTACTGGGTACATATACTGATTTCTGAACAAATAACACATATTATACATCCAATATCCTTATCCAATGGTCTCCGATGTATATGTATTCAACATTGTTTTTGGTCAATGAATAGAAAACCAATGAAGTACTACATGGACTAACTTAAATATTGATCTAACACAGAATTACATGTACAATAAAAAACACAAAATCACAAACATAAAATCACAAACAAATACTAAAAATTCACTGCCTGTTCCGATTTTTTCCTTTTATAGCTGATAGCAAATGAAACAAAAAGTCACAATATCCGTGAAACAACTTCCTCCTAAAATCAACAAAAAACGTGCTATGTGCCATAAAGACATAAGCCTTTCCCTTAAAAAATATTGTCCATCTCAAGCGATTTGTGTGATGAGACATGTAAATCATGAAGTTTTTTTTTTTTTTGCTGTGGCTGCCACAGAAAATCCGTTAATTTGGCCCAATCCTACCTTTGCCGAGGCTGATGTATTGTGATTTCGTTATTAATGAGATTTTTTCTTTGCACTATAGCTCTCCTAAACTTTATAAGTTGATCTTGTTAAAATAGCTTCTGGATATAAACAGCCTATCATTTGTCAGTCAGAACTGCTCTATAAACCTGCATCAACTATTTTGCTGCACATTGCAGACAGTTACTGCAAGCTTACGTAACCATGGAACCTAAAATGATGATTTATATACAAAGGCCATTTATTGATAAAAGGCTGTCCATACTCTTGCACAACCAAAATAGCTTTCTTACATCTAAAGGGAATTCCAAAGGATGTTTATATTTCCTAAGATTTTGGTAAATAATTTTTAAAGAAAAGGAAACTAACTTGCTATTTTAATGTCCATTTTTTCTGGTTATGAGTTTCAAACATCCATCTTAGGTATTTTAATTGATGATAAAATATTAACAATGAAATGTACATTCCATTCATTTAATGTATCATTTAATCAACTCCCTCTGTTCCAGCTAAGAAATGTTAAACAACTTACATATTCAGCAGATCCTTCTAAATTACAACCTTTTAAGCACTAAGTAATGACCTGAGTCTGAGACAAGCTTGAGCAATCAGATATTGCCCCTGACTGCCCACAAAGTCAAGTCATTTAAGGTCCCTCCATGTGAAGACGACTCCCCGCTGAGTCTTACGTAGTAAGAATTCCCCCTCTCTCATAGAGCACCTTCACCACAAAACCCCATCTGTTTTAAGATTCTGATTGCCTAATTATAACTAAGAACAGTAAGGGTAGAGTAATGGCACATTAGATCTTTTCAGTGCCTGACTTTTGTGTCCCCCTGTAGGACGTGTCTTACAAAGGTACATGCATGCTTCGCTGTCAACTTTTTAAAATAAATTCTCTTCACAAGATCAGAGGAAGAACTGTTAATGTTAACAAATGAATTAATGGGTTTTAATTTTCTACAAGCTTCTAATTCTGTTAATCAGTTTTCATTCCTTAAAAGATAGTCAAATGAATTTAAAATATGTCCCCATACAGAAATGAATGAATTTTTCATTCACATGTTAAAAACAATTAATTTAAGAAAAAATATTTTTAAAATAATCATAAAATGAATTTCTCAAAATTAAATTTTATGAAAAAAAAAATCAAAATTGAGTAAAGATTCCACAGAATCTAAGAACATCAAATAAGTTAAATAAAATTTGTAAATGTTCCTTACCTACAGGAAAATCTTTTGCTTTTTAATTAGCAATCAGACCTCAGTGAAACGAAAGTGAAAAGTGAAAACACTGAGGAGACTAGAATCTCTTAATCAAAGCTTAGACAGACTGAGGGGTTTTACTTCTAAATTAGTCCGGGAAAAGTGAGCACTTCAAATAGTGCCGTGTGCAAAATGCAGGAGTGCAAAGTATTAGGAAGAATTCCTGCAAGCTCTATGATTTTTCACAGAAGCATCTTACTATGAGATGGCTACTTGCGTAGGTTCTACAGATTTATTAATCTGTGTTTATCAATATTTAGATAGCAGAGTAGTAACGGTTACATTACAAGATAATTGATAACTGCTTTGAGTATTTACATTTTGTCTGTGTTCAATGCAACATGTCAGTTTCCATATTGCTGTTGCTTGCCATTAATCCAATACAATTAATTCTGCAGACTGCATTGACGTTAGCAATCACGAATTAGTTCTAATAAAAGCAAACATTCAGGAATACCTTGTAACAATTACATTTTTACCATATGTATTTATAAGTTTACACTGTTTCACCTTCTAAATAATTATATATATATGTATTAGCAAGATGTGTTTGTGAATTTCATACTGATGCCCCCGTATGGCAGCTTCTGCATGAGCTCTGGCAAAGGTTGAATTTTCTCATATGCACATCAAACTCCAAAGGACAAGGTCAAAATGTTTGTACTCAAAGGAAGGCCTTGTTACAAGGAATACATCTGTGAAATATGAAAGCCTTAGTTCTAACTGTTCAAAAATTATGGCCAAGGTTAAAATTTTTAAAAAGTGGGTAATAACTCTAAGGTCAAGGTCAAATGGTCCAAATTATATATAGTTCTTATCAAAATGAATACTTAATATGTGAAGTATGAAAGCCCTAGCTCCAACTGTTCAAAAATTATGGCCAAGGTTAGTGTGGGTTTTTTTTTTGTAAAAGTATGTCAAACTCCCAAGGTCAAAAGGTCAAATTAGGTGGTACTCAAAGAAAGGTCTTGTCACAAGAAATACACCTGTGAAATATGAAAGCCAGGGCCCCACCCACTAAAAAGTTTTGGGCAAGCTAGGTTAAAGCACATGGATAGACAGAGCTAGACAGACATCTGACAGCAAAAACTACCGGGTATGTACCCCTGAAACTTCGTTAGGGGACATAAAAAAGTAAAATGCTTGTAAATTCAAACATTTTTGTTTGTTAAAATTACGCTCTTTGAAGTCATTTGAAGCAGAGAATAATTTTCAAGAGTTTTGGTATGACACCTATTAGGACATGAGAAAAGGGCATACTCTAAAACCTGGCCTGGCCCCTTTGGCCTGGCCTGGCCTCTAAGTTGGCCTGGCCTCTATTTTGGCCTCTAATTTGGCTTCAAATCAAATTTTGGCCTGGCCTCCAAAGTTGGCCTGGCCTCAAATTTGGCCTCTGTAAAAATTTTTGGCCTCAATTTTGGCCTCACTCAAAAATAATTTCTTTTTCAGAAATTGATTGATTTTATTGATTTTTTATTGATTTCATTTTTTTCACAGATTAAGCAGGTTATTAATATATTTCTGTTGATATGTAAATGTGAACATTAAAAATAATCATGTACTACCACTAATATGATTAATTTTATTGATTATCAATTGATCAGTGTACACTTATTTCACTTTATTATTTACAGGTATTTCATACAGACACGCTACCGATACTCTTGCTTATAATTATTAAGAAAAAAAAGTATCAGAGTTTATTTTGTGTTTTCCAAATTGTGAACATTGAAAAAAAAATCTCTAGTAATAATTCATGTGAAATGTCATTAATAGCTTTGAAAAATTCCCACTTGTTAAGTAGATGAATCATCATCTTTCACACACTGTGGAGTGTTGTGTAAAAATTATGCCTGCATCATCTGTGTGATATATGAATGCAGGCACCTAAGATTTTTTTTCAAATAAATATACCAAGACAGATACCAAAATATTTATATCATACTGATTTGATTACTCTGTTAAAAATTCATGTTCACTTTAATCTAAGAACAGTTGGTATTTAAAAAGAATTAAGATAAATA